CGAGGTGTGAAGGGGCAAAAAAAGCGACAATGTCCCATTGTTCGCGAGCAAGGTGGTACGGTACGTACCATTCCCCAGGAAATGCAAAGTGAAGTGTAAATAAGCTTAGCATTAAGAAAGGGAATACGGGGAGGGAGGCCTAGGGGGTGGAAAAGATGGCGACAACGAAATGCAAGCCACAACGCCCAACATTTGTTGTTTCGTCCACAACAGCAGTGGCTCGGTAATTTGCAAAGAATTGCCAAGCGGCCGGCCGATATCGATTCGATACAATGACAAGCATAGAGAAAAAAAAGAATTGGACACAGTTGAGGTTATTCCCTGGTGTTAGGTATCAGGGTACCAGGGATCTATCATGATCTCTTCTCCCAAGAGGCGTGCTGAGGTTATGTCGATCACTGACCGGGGTTAAGATGTGAGGTGCTTGTGCCTGTGCCTGTGCGCCAACCAAAGAAGGGACGGCTTGCCAGCGCCCCTGGATCAGGTGAATTTGAATTGATTACCAGAAAGAGATTCCCTGACAACCTCAAGCACAAGGAAGGGTTGGTCTGGGGCGGCACATGAAAGAGTAAGGTAAACCTCTGCAGCAGTCGTCGGTACCACGACATACTGTAGTTAGTACCCGCCCCAACAGAGCCCACGAAAAAATTGAGAATGAAGGGAACGTTACGGACAGCAGCTCCGGCGTGTCTTCTGTGAGCCCTGTCTTGAAAAATGCCGTTGTGATGGCGCTCCTAGTTCGCTCGCCAGGGATGCAACGCTGACTGCAATTATGCCGAATGGGAACAGTTTGCGAAAGTTCATCCGGTGCATGAATGCATGAACTCGGAACTGCGTCAAACTTTTGACGACAGTGTTCCCTTGGTGTTCATGTTGAGTTTGTCAGGCGGTAAGGCAGGGGATAACCCTACTGTCATCCTCATAGTTGAGTGATTAGGTACGGGAATAACAGGACAACCTTGACAGGAAAAGAGAAGGAAAGAAGAGGAAAAGAAAAAAAGAAAACAACACCAACTGACAGGCCTTGATTTCGCGAATCGTCGTTAAGATTGGCCCAAGGCATAACACGGAACTCTCCATGCTCTGCACAGATTTTGCTTTCGTACTCCTGGTCTTGGTTGTTTCTTTTTGCTCTTGCCGGCGTCTTTCATCTCTTTTCTCTTTCGGGCCGGTTACATCTTCGAACGGCGGGCGGGAGGACCTAGACATGTCTCAACAATGACAAGTCAAGATGGCGGCATTGGCTGGATGGGGGACGCCTCTAAGCCATATTGAAGCAACCCCCTTACCTCAGAGATCTTGGCCCTACAGGGCGCTTTGCTTTTTGCAGGGAAAATACATACCTTTTGAAATTGAACTTCCTTCAAGAGAATAACCTCTGTGGGCAAGCAAGAGAAGAGGAAGCAGGCAAGTTGGCCAAGCGAGTCAGCAATCAACCCAAAATTGGACAAACTGGCAAGCCCGCTTCACCTTGTCCCATGACGACGGGAAGGGTAGAAAGCTATTGAGAACTTGGCGCGGAGGGATCTCCAACCGTAAGGATGAATCTACATTTCAGTGATGCACGACAGACAGATCTGACAGATGCGTTAGGTATTGTCGATCATGATGCGGCGACATCACTACCCGTATATAGGCCCCATCTCTGTTTCCTCGTTTCTTGGGGTTTCTGCCTCCATCACGGACGGCTACCAAGCATATCCAAGGCAGTGTTGGAGCCTTGTCAAGCGGGGGAAAGGCGGATCACTTTCGTGTTGCTGCAGTGAGCTATCACGGTTGCGATGTTGGCCGCAGTCTTGTCGTATTGCTGTGAGGATTGACAGAACCACAGGACGTGCCTGGATGCGGCAGCCGACCAGCCAAAGCCATTGTTCGTTGGGTGATCTACAGCGGCGTCATTGGGCTTGCAGTATTCATCTTGTTGAATTGGAAGGGCCGAATCTGAGCCGTCTCCTTCAGCCGTGGCGCTCTATGGCGTCCTATGGCGTCCCGAGGGGGGTTCATAAAGGCTGAGTGAAGACAGTGAAGACAGAAGGCATGTGCCGCATTGGCCTCCCACTCCCGCTCCCGTCGTCGAGCGGGACTGGTGAAGCCGATGGGATATCCCGTGAAGGTGACAAGCTTCTGCCGCGCCGTTACACTGAACCAAATTGTCGTGCAGGTCGTCGGCTGTAGGGACTCTAGGGAGTTATTTGGCGCTCTTATCAGAGGCTCAACAGGAAGCGGCTGTGATTCTGCCGTCGCATCAAGAGCGGGCCATGGCATTGACAGCAGAGCTCCCTCCCGTCTCGAGGGAGGCTTCAATTTGTGTAACTCTTGTGATGTCTGTGTAACTGTGCAAACTGCATCAAAAGCTGTTAACTGCTAGTCAATAATGATGGTGTCGCCACGAAGGGCTCTTTTCTTCTCTGCAGTGGTCTTTGCACTAGTGGTTGCCAAGATGGACGGGAGGGAGATTTGGTGGATACTGGGCCCAACTACCGCCGCCGTTATGTAAGTACTCCAGATTCCGATCTTTTGGGCATCGTCCCGCGAGATGAAAACCAATTCGGGCAGGAAGTGATTTCGGAAACAGTCCGCTTGTTGTTGTTTATTTCATGACACTTTAGTGTTGACAACCCTTCAGCTGTCCGCTGAAACCTGTATGGACTTTTTGAAATTACATGTTTCCATGTTCCATTCATGGCGGCGAGAGCGGGTACCGTATGCATTCGGAATTCGGGAAACACTGACAGCTTGGCCTATCTCGGGGCTCAGGCGGCTGTGTGGACGTTGGTGTTGTAGTTTTGACAGATGTCAACGTCAGTGAGCAGTGCTGATCTCCAACTGAAACCTGAAGTCTCTGGAAATTACCAAGATATCACGAGGGTCCCAGGCCAGATTAAGGATGTGAACGATGCATCAAGAACGGAGTCTGGAGATAGAAGCAGATTCGAGCCTCATCTTCCAACTCCATACGACAAGCACAAGCAGTATGGGGTAAATGATCCTCCAAGTATAGCTTGGCCGGTGGGTGGGATACTGTAGTGATGGTTCACTGAGTCGCAATTCGCTTCCTGGATAACGGTGGTATTCTTGGATCTCTTGGATGCTTGGGGACTTTTGGGGTTGCCCAGATTGGGTATTCCGTAGCGCTGACGGGGTATGGAGTCGGTTATGGATTCGCCGATGGAGGCTGCCCCACGGCGCCGTTTCTATCCATTTTATCCATCTAATTAAACGAGAGTGATCATTTGAGGGAACGCCAGGGTCTTTTGGGGACGCTAGATGCCAAATCCCGACATGTAAGGTACGGGAGGTTCGGAAGGGCGAAGTCATGATGGCTGTCGACGAGATTCGTGTCGTTGTTAGGTACCTATGCAATGCGCGAGTGCGTACGCGTCCAGATGCCGGCAGCGGAGTTGCTGCCTTGTGCTGCTGCTTGGAGCATAACATCAACGGTCTGGCATCCAGACGGAGTTGAGATAAGCTGCTAACAGAGGCAATTTTTGGTGTCATTGAGAATGAGGGAAGTCGCTGTCGCGAACACGGGCAGTTTGTCGTCTTTGGCGTTTTTGGCGCAAGGGTTTCTATCGAGCTTGCCTCCTTCGGGAACCCTTGTCAGATCTGTAACACACCCTTGCTTGTCGATCCTGGCCGTGCCTCTGCCAAAATTTGGTATGTCCAGTTCCCCGGCAGAACCCCCGACCGAACCCTCGCTGGTATTTGGACCGAATCTCGTATGGATCAGGGTAGCTTTACCATCCTCGCGTTCCAATGAGTAATTTCTCGCGAGTGTGTATTCCCAGCCGGCAACACCGTGTCGAGGGTCTCGGAGTTGGGTTCTTTGTCTTTGGTATCCATTTCATTAGCAGTCAATAGTGTGCCCGCTATCCGTCTTCTTAAAACGGTTGGATGTGCTTTTGTCCCGCGGGGATAGTTTCCCCAGTTAATCTTGTTCAATCAATCTCCCATCCTCAGTTGGTCAATGTCACATCGCCGAATGTCACTCTATCGTCCCCGATGCCATCCACTCTGTACTGCTATGCGGGCGGTATGTAATAGGTAGAGGTACCTGAGCTGAGGAATGTACTTACCGCAAAATCTCACTCATAACGGAGATGCTTTGTGGATCGTACCAGGATTATGAGCCAATTCAATTGGCAAGATGCTGCATATGTAGCTAAGAGCAAGCTCAAAACACCCGCATAAGGTGTGGCCTTCCCCAAAAGAGCATCTCTGTTATGAGTGAAATTTTGCGGTACTTCCTGTAGTTCGGGCACCTCAATCGTTGGCCCTTCGTCTAGGCCGTTCTCGCTATTCCGACGTTCTTGTGTCCTGCTGCCAGTCATCTTTCCTCAGGGGCGATCGTCGCTGTATCTTGTCTTCGGGAATCTCAAACAACCTCCATGTGCGTGTAAATAGTGTGGTGTAGTTCCCGGGGAGTTGGATAGACCCTCTCCTAGTACAGTGTTCGCCATCAGCGTGTCGAATAGCTCCGTGCGATCAGCATTGTTGCCACGTTTGAAAGCTCCGTAGGGACGACGATCAAACGCGAGCCGTTGATAGTTCCCTCCGCAACGAGGACTACTTACACTAGCATCTGGATTGCCATGTGAAGCCGAGAATGAGGGACTGCATCATTGCGAATATTGACATCCAGAGTTTTCTCGATATGGTTCTGTACCTCTTGCGGATGTGGCTGCAGCTCCATACTCGGCCTCGCTCTTGACACCGATGACCAGAAAGATATGGGGTTCCAACACTCCACTGTCTCCTGTTCTGGCCCCCTTGGCTAACAAAACAGCCGCCATGGAAGTCTCCCCGGCTCCCCTATTTGCACGCACCAGCGGAACACCATCAACATCGGCGACCTGCCCAGCTGCCACTGACGGGGTCCCCTTGTGGACCATACTCGGTTGTCCTAATAGGGAAGGGCGAGCCCCGGGACGGTGTCTACATACTGATCCCAACCTCTACAGACAAGGACAACCGTAGTCACGCCCCTGCCTCTACTGAAGGGTAGTGTAGTAGCTGAGAGATTAGATTTTTTTTCAAAAATGGACCGTAGTGAGCCTTCGAGTCCCAAGACGGGCTACATCAGCATCTTGGGATGAGCATGGGGCACACCTACCAGACACACTCAATCTTCCCAGCACCGTCTCGGTCTTCTCCGTACCGTTTTGTAGTCTTCTCGCAACCTCCGAGGCATGCCTTTCGTCTGGTGGGCTGAGACATAGGATAGCGGTAACAGAACATTGAAACCACTGACTCCTCGCCGTATCTCGTAGCAAGGAGACACCCGTTCGCCTCCACGACTTCCTCCGACCCTCTCCGCTTTCTCCTCCAGCGCCCCAGGAGAAACCATCTCAAGATTGCGGCTGAACATGCACAAATGGTGTTTTTTGCCCAGTTAGCGCTGTTCTCCTGGTCAAAGAGTGATTTCCTTGACTTTCTGCCCAAAGAGGCAATGAGCGACAGTGATCCAGTTCTGCATGCGTTATGGCAGACGCGAGCACTCTCAGCACACACAGTTACAGTGAATATTGAACGCGGAATAGCGAGTTGTGGAGGTTGCTCCAATGCTACCAAGAGGCAGAATGCTGCACACCAGTCAGTCAGCCATTCATGCCCCTTATCATTTGCATGAAAATGAGATGTAGTCGAATGGGAAAAGAAAGGAGGGAAAAGTTAAAACCAACGCATCCGATATCCATCCGGGTCACAAGCTGTGTCGAACTTTTTCTGCCCAGCTGCCAGACATGCGAAGAGGCATCATCATCATGTTGGTTGGTGAGCTGGTTCATCAGAGTCGATGGGTCTTGCCTGTCACAACGAAGCGACAACGACGACGGTGACGACGATAACGAGCTCGCGTGCCAACAGTGAGATCTGATAAAAACCTCACGTTCGATCCATCCCACACCCGTTGTCCGTCAAGTGCGGTGTTGATGGCTGGGCGATGGAGGCCGATGGAGATGATAGGGTGATGTGCTCACCTGTGAAGTTGCCAACCTGGCGGGGGATCATGGGGACGTCGATGGAGGCGTCAGGGGTGGCTACCCCACTTGATGTGCCGCTATTGGCCCGCTTGCCGTGGGCAACAAGGCAGAGTGGACCAGGCTGCAGTACCCTTGCTTTGTGGACTCTTTGATTTTTGCTTCTTTTTATTCCCGGTCCTGTGGCCGACCGCTTCGTGTCGACGTTTCCGCGGTGAGGTCGTGAGCCCACACACCTTGGGAGCTTGGGCACTAGACGCCAGGATGCCGACAAAGTACCGCCATTTACCCTAGGCAGCGTCCAAATACCGGAACCACCGCGAGCATGAGACTGTCGCAGCTTTGCAGTCTGTCTGTGGCCTTTGTCATTCACAAGAACGGATGAACACGTTGAGCGTTCTTTGATGAAGCGATGCAAGAACTCACAGCTCTCGAGTGTGGACAGATTTTGCGGTGTAAAGTGTAACATCCCTGTCCCCGTTTCGCAAAGCTACCAGATCTTATGTATAAAATCCCGAATCACCGTGGAGTGCTCCCGTTCCGCAGTTGGGGGTCCCGCCGCCGACCCACTGCTGACGACTCCGTTGATTCGGTCGCGGCTTCGCATTGGTGAAGTGCTCGAGGGATCCCGGAAATGTAGGGCTTCCACTTGACGGCGTTGAGTCCGGTTACGATGCGTCCATATCATATCATACCGCCGGTATCAAAGCGTTTCGGGACCGTTTCTTTCTGGTTTCGAACAATCATATGCGACTCGTGTGCGCCGCAGTAAGAATGCCAGATGTACGACATCTTTATAGGGCATTCGACCCATTCGGCCTATTTGGCTGATAACTGATGTCAGTGGCATACCTCACAGAACGGGGAATGCCGTGGCGCCAGCTTGGAATCCCGACCTGGTGAATGTCAAATTTCGTCACGACGAAGGACTGAAAGGCTGCGAAAAAAGGGGACCGCCCTCTAAATACACAAAGCCTATTTCTCGGCTGATATCATAGCCTACCCTTCGCCTGCACTTGGCCCAATTGTTTTGGCGAGTTTGATTTCGAGAGAGCTGGCATTGCAATCCTCCTCAGCAAAGAAACTTGCTACATGTGACCGCCCAAGTGAACCGTCTTTCTCCCCGTTTTGGTTTGCGCCACGCGCGTACCTGCGAGGTCGAACAACAGACGTCACAGAGCGTCGAGTGATTACGAGCACCCCCACTCACCCCTTGCCTGCCAATAGACGTGGGCCTTCATTCTGTCGACAGCAACCCTTTATATTTTACTAGCACTTTGCGTGGTATAATACAACTCCGCTTCCTCCCCGCACGCCAATTGAAATGATCTCACACGGCGGAAAAGGTTTTCATTCACGCATGCGATGGGGACTGTGAAGTTGCAATTGGCATCGCTGTCCTACACGTCCCGTGACGTGACTGAGCGTTTGGAGATTAGCGCATCTAAATAGTTTCCCATCCCGAGCAGAAGCCTTTAAGGCTAACTTGAGAAGCACTGTTCGTTAGTAAGTCTACTCCGAAACCTGCCCGAAAACGCTTGCACTGGCCTGGCAGCTGTTTTCATGTACCGACACTGTTCACTCTTTTGTCAACTGGCAAGAAATCAGTCTCGACATTACTCTCACTGTGCAGCCGTAACGAATGAAAGCAAGCGGCAGAAGGGGGAGGGGGGCTAGCGCCATTTTCCTCTATCGCGAATTGGGGTGGGCCGCCGTTTTTCTTGTTGTCTCGTTGAGGTGTTCTTGCTAATGGCATTCAGACAGAATTGCCATCCCACCTGCCGGCCGACACATGCGGTACGTACCTGCCTCTGAGGGACAGGGACAATGCCCCCAACTCCTGTGCCCTGTACCCTGTCCACAACTGCCACCAATGACGCACGCACAAAGAACATGGCGTTCATGACAACTCCGCTGGAAGGTGACAACCAGCACTTTGAACCACCCTCCGGATTTGCCCCCGGCGTTCAGGATCACACACAGGGGCAGCATCATGACTACTGCAGGGCAGAAACCCCATCACAAATTCACTGGTAGAAGTGTTGGCATTTCTAGTTGAAAGTTGTGGGCAGAAGAGACAGCCACGGCAAGCAACTACCTAGCAAAGCCCCGAAGAATTGGAAAGCTATGATGGGATGCTGAAACCACAGACATGGGACTGGGTGTTGGAGTCGTGTAGCTGGGACGAATCTTGCGTCAAATGCAATCCCGTCATCCGGTCGTCGAGGTTGTCAAGCTGCGAGTGGAAATGGCTGCTCCCGCCTCGTACATCCCGGCTTCGTTCCAGCGTCAAGCGTCAATTGTCAAGCGTCAATTGTCAAGCGTCCAGCCTGCTTCCAAATCTCACCGTCGTCACAGCGCTGAGAGCTGATAGCCGGGGCATGTGTGTCCCCATTCCGACTCCCAATCAACACGCCCATCTCACCACAGCATAACAAGGCGAGACAGTCAACCGGTTCCTGAGAATCCATCGATTGTGGAGGAGGGTAACGAGGAGCCCCCGTCCGGAGGGCCAGCGACGACCCCCATTCACACTGCGACAGTATGTCCATGTCGAGTCAGCCACACAGTGTCAGATGAGGGCTGTCTCCCAGACCCTGCAGAAAAGAAAACAACGAACCTCCTCCACCAAGGTAGGTACATCCACATGCCTACACACATACCTTAGCACCCAGCACTGCATTGCATCTTGTCGGCAGGGACCCAACCTGAGATGGAGGTCGTTGTGCTGCTTACCGAGTTGCATACTGTACTCTCCAACCGAATCCCAATTCGTCTCGAGAACAACAGAAGCAATGAATCAATTGATACAAGCACACAACTTGAGAGCTCCTTCCTCCGCCCATATCCGGCAATGACATTGACAGCAAGTGCGGGGGCTGCCAGAAGCGGCACACCACCCGGCCTTCAGCCTTTTGCTCCCGTCACTTGGCATCCTTAGTATCGTCAACCGTTGAAGAGCCTTCAAAGTATTGAAACGGCTCCTTGTGTGAATCAATTCGGAAAAGGTTAGTTAAACGCAATTTTGCGACTGCTATTTGCATCTCTCGAGTATTTCGCATCCCTGCCCTGTGGGAGCCAGCCTGCCAGCCTGCCCCCATTCACTTAAAGCCACCCCCCCCTGGTCCTCCCTCTTTCCCCCCTCCCCCCTCCCAGGCAATCCCATCTTGCCCCCCCGACCCCTGCCTCTGTGTACAAGGACAATGTACCCAGGTACCAGCCATACCGAGCCTTCCAACCCATCCCCAACCTTGAACTGGAGCAGGTGTGTGGGCTTGCGGTTGCCCTGTCTGGCTACCTAGGTTTGGGCTTTCCCATTCAACCATTGACTTCATAACGGCATCCCTTTGGGCGGGTGGAGGAAGCTCACTTCTGTTAAAGCTTGGCCAACCCTCCGCCTTGTCCAGCAGACTGGCCTTCTCCGTTTTCCACAGTATAGAGACATCCAATCTCATCAAACCAACTAAATCAAAGGCTGACGGAGCAAGAGCTTAGCGCAAGTACACGCAGTCAACCTACAACACTCTAAACACTTGGACCACTCACACCCGACACCACTGCAACTATCGCGCAATCATCTGCCCTGAAAAAAGTTTGACCGTCGATTTCCCGGAGACATCAGGACACAAAGCCAGCACCGTAAACACCGGTTCCTGTCGAGCAGCAACAGATCTTCCCCTTCAGCATCCATACAAGATCCTTACAACATCCATACAAGCCTTCACAAGGGGCCGATCTTCTCCTCTTCCTCTCTTCCGCCCTCCCACCTGTCCCAACTGAGCTGAGAGCAGCCTGCTCCTCTAGCCAAACAAGCAGACCAACGTCAGCCCTGACCTCCCCCCCGTCCTCTGTCTCCTCTATTCTACACAGTAGCAAGTAGAGGCACCGCGGACGACAAGACCGCCCTGTCTCGTCTGCATCATTGGGTGAACCCTGTCTCCTCAACGTCCCTGCTAGGGCCCCTTGGACCGGGAGATTCCACCGTCGATCAATCTCGCCCGAGGTCGTCACAGAATACCTTGCTCTGAAGCCGACTCCACCTGTCCCGCTGACCAAGGAGACAATACCGTTCAGTCGACTTTGGGTTCGCTGTTCTGAAGTGGACGCATACCCGATTGGCTCTAGCCTGCAGTTTGGTACTCCCCATTGTTCCCAGGGCTGCTCGCATGCCATCTGAGCTTCTCAGACCCCCAAGAACACTTAAGGTCGCTGATCCCTCCTTGTCAACTCGTGGTCCGATCTTCTCTCGACATTCGACCCGACTAAAAGGATCCCGCGTTTGATCAGCAACAACTACATACATACCTACCACTATCGACAAACACTTTCAACTCTTCTCCTCCCCAAGTTCACCAGTTCACCTCACCAACAAGACTGGGAAGAACATACACAGCACTCGGTTGCACACACAAAACCCCAATGATGATGACCATAGACGCCAACCAGCACCGATTTGCACCGCTAAACTACGACCACATGTCTTATCAATCGAGCCAGCCACACTTCACCAACCCTTGGGGTTCGTCCTCGGGTCCTGGAGGGCCGCCTCCTCCTCCTCAGCAGCCCGCTCCTCAGAACATGTACATCAACAACCGTGACAGCGCCGGCCTGCCGCACCTTAACCTCGCTGCCCTCCCCAAGCGTCAGCACGACGTCAGGAACGGAAGTGTGTGGCCTCATCAACCTGCTGCTCCCGGCCCTGTCACAACTGCGCCAGCAGGTAGCGCTCCCATGGCGGATGTCTATAGGCAGCAGGACTTACTCTCTATGCCCCAAGATCATCTCCTAGGTCTCAACCGCATGCCCCACCCAACCACTTCGACAGCATATGATACCTCCGCCTACACCACCTCTGCTTCCCCCGTTAGCACCAGCTACCCTCCTTCGACATCACAGTATGAGCTCGGTTACCCACCCGCCACTATGAGGGGGGCCTTTGGCATGGCTCCTGATGACACTGCGAGGAGGTATTCACAGCAGTAAGTACTATCTGGGTTTGTCCTTTACATCTTACCAATACTAACCCACCTACCCAGGGGAATTCAACCTGATGACCGGAGAAGCTTTCAAGATGCGCTTGAAGCTAGCCAAGGCATGCTTACCATGAGTCAAGAGACACCAAGGAACATCTATGATGTGCGAAACCGTGCTAGAGGTTCTGCAGACTCGTACGGCTTCCCTCAGACGCACTCCACGGGCTCTAGCGTTTCTTCTGCGAGCTTTGGCGGGTACTATGGCGGTTCAGTTGATGGGTCGATCAGCGATTACTCGACCGCAGGCTCTGACATTGAGTCGCTCTCTGGCCGGACACTTCCTCGCCCTCAAGGCTTGATGTCGAGCCAGCCCCCGGCACCACAGTCCATGATGGGCTCCTTCAGCTCCAAGGTGTCAACAAGTACCTCGAAGAAGCACAAGTGCAAGGTTTGCGACAAGCGATTCACACGGCCTAGCTCGCTCCAGACCCACATGTATAGCCACACTGGTGAAAAGCGTAAGGACTCCTCCATAACGTAGTTTGAGGTTTCACGCCTGCTAACAATTTTCACAGCCTTCCACTGCGAAGTTGAGGGATGCGGTCGCCAATTCTCAGTTGTCTCTAACCTCAGGAGACACAAGAAGGTCCACAAGCCCCAGAGCGAGACGCCATCTGAGACTGGTTCCGAAGCGGGCCAGCACTCGGAATAAACTATCCGATGCATTTCGCGGAACTCTTCTTTTTTTACATCATGCCCCTCGATAGACTACACACTTTAATTTCCAACATTCGCTACATGTAACACTATCGGCACCGGAACCCTTCAGCATATCACACCACGGTCTATATCGATCCCGGGAAAAAATGGATTCGAAAATCGACATAAACAATTGCGACTCGCTACCGCCTACCAAGTACACGAATGGGGTCGGCGGTACCCGCTCCGCATCTCATAGACTTACGTTTCGCAAGGAGGGACAGCAGGCGATCCCTCCATCATTCCCTGCTGTCGGTCATTGGCAGCAGAGGCGCTCGGCGTTGGAGTTCAGGTAGACGAGACTTGTCGATCACAACGAGCAAGCTGCCCCGCATGGACCGCCAACCGCGGGGAGCTGGCCAACATCTTTTAATCGTTTCATTTTCCTTTTGGGTTCATTGGTTGATTAGGTGGGGAAAGAACGGGGAAGATACCAAGGGGGTCATCATCCAAGGGAGGTTGCGAAAGGAAGGGCGCCTTTCCACGGGGACCACAAATCTCATGAACCGGCGTTTCGGTGGGCTTGCTTTTCAGATCTTTGTTTTTGTTGCATCCGGGAATGCATTTTCTCGACTGTCGTTTAAGAGATACACAGGTTTGGATGGACATGGTTTTAGGTTTCGGTTGGTCAATCAGGGGTTTTTCCATTATCATCATATCATCATCATTTGATCAGGACAAGAAGAAGAATACCCAGCTTGGACATATTTGATTGGCCTATCGGAAGGAGGGAAGGGGAAACAGGCTCGGTAGATACCACTATATGGTGACGACTTCAAAAGGATGTTACAAAGAGCGGAGGAACATTCATGTATCATCTAAGCTCAAGCACATTGCGAAACCTAATTATGTACTACTACAACTATCAAACTTGTCACTACCAAGCACTGCAAGAATTGCTCAATTGTGATACTGAATGCGAGAAGAGTTCGCCTCGAGTTCTCCGTGGTCTGTCTTACCATCAAGAATTTCCTCCTCCAATGAACGCGCACACACATAATTCGTCGTCCAATCAATATGCCTCCACCCAATTCGATATTACAAGCAGCTAACCAGCATAGCCGTCCGTTTCAGATTCGAATTGCCCATTTACCTTTGCTTCCCCCATATTTTTCCTTTAACCATACTGTAACCCTTCAGTCCTACCCTGACTTGACTGACTAGACCGGGCAAGGTATAGGGAAGAAATTCGGACGTCACATCGCAGTAGTTGCGCAAGTTAAGTTGGTGCTTAGACTAGCCCAGGTTTATTTTTTCTCACTACGGTTCCTAGTTCCTACTCTCTTCCCGTGAACATCTCAATTTCAGTCTCACAATTTCCTGATGAAGGATAAAGAGTTGAACAAGGTTCGGGAAGGCCGTGTAAATCTTTTTCTTGATAAAGCCTAGCATGGCATTCACATCAAGGCTTGTGCTAACTACATTGACCGGAATAGGGGCCCACAACAATTTCAGGAGAAGGGCATCGGGATACCCAGACGGGGAGGAGGAAGAGTGAAGAGGATGGAGAAGGAGAAGGAGGCTGAGTCGGGCACATCTGCTCGATCTGGTACCGAAGCCAGCGAGCCAGCGAAGCCAATGTGTGAGGAGCTCCGCGCATACAGGCATTCCTAGATGCGAGACAGGGGACGGAAGGGAAGAGAGGAGGGAGAGGCAGACGCGGAAGATCCGGGCGCTGAAAGGGCGGGTTGCATTGCGTGCTTTCCCCCCATTCCCCGTCTTCGGTGGAGGACGAGTGTCAAGCTCCCCAGGGCGACAGACGGCAGGAAGCAGGGCGCACTATGGAAGAGATCACGGTGCGAGAGGGAGTCGGACTCGACGCCGAATCGACGCATGTTCAGAATGCTGACTGGCCCGAATAGGAACCGCGATCACGTTTCACACACAAACAGCAACTCCATCAACCCACATTCCGCCCATAGAGGAGATAATAGAGGGCGTATGTGTATATGCTGTGCTCAAAAGGGAAAGCGGAGAGAAGGAAAGGAGGTGTGAGAGAAGGTGTGTGATCGTCGCCACATGTCTCTCATTGCCTGGTTGTCCACGAAGCAGCACCCTTCCATTTGTCTGGCTTCTATGCCCATCGATCTCCGGGGTTTGTGCTTGAATATGAGATGGATCTCTTTCTAACGAGAGAGGCATCTGGTATCAGCTGAATTGCCCAACGAGCGGGGGAGAGGCGAAAAGGGGGCCTCCCATGGTAATGGTGGATACACGTGAAGAGTGTTTCTGTACAAGGCATATTGCAAATGAAAGACGGAGCGCAGTGTGGATGGGTGGATGGATGATGGATGGTGCACGAGTGAAGCGTGCTTCTATGTGATGAGGTATGCATATCCATCTCACAACAACACGTATGAACCCAGTAAGTGCTTCGTATAGACACCTGTCCAAGGCAATGCCTTACTAACAGCGAGCTGGAGAAAGGCAACGACCGAAGGACTTGAGGCGGACGACCGCGAGATGGCATGACAGATGGAAGAGATTGAACTCTGAGATGGAGATAAGATGAAATGAGATGAGATGGGTTTGGAGGGTCCCTGGAGGGCTGTCTCAAAGCACGACTGGCACCCCGACACCGCCGTCCCATGGCCGTGACCGCTTGGTCCGCGGCGTACCGCACCGCTCCGTGGGAGCACCGCACAGGACACATCCAAGAACGACAACAACGCCCGACGCACTTGCATGACTTGTTGCTGGCGTGTCCTTACTCGTGCAGGCGAGGAGAGACCTGGGAAGCTCTCTGATGATGGGCCGGGGTGGAGTTTATGGGTAAGCACCAGTCCTAAGGACCTTGACGGCCTCGTTTCAGATTGCGCAAATCAGTTCCTTTGATGGAGAAGAGGCAGATGTGACGGGCCATGTAGGGCGGGGATTCCTTGTCGGTGCACGGTGGTGGTTGGTGAAGAAAAGCTTGACTGGACGGGGTGTATGGGGAGACTTCTGATCATTGCCCGGACGGGCAAGTGCTTTCGAGAAGAGCCGTGCCGAGGCGGTGCGTTGACCGGCGGAAAGCTGGACGGTCGAGTATGGAAGCGGTGGTGATCGGCGGGCATACAGATTCGGAGTGGGGATGGACTGAGCCAAACTGGGGAAAATGGAACTGAGAAGGTTCAAGGAACGGGCGAGGTTCGGTAATGGGTTCATCTGGCTTCTTTCTTTCGAATTCACGTGCCGTGTAACGCAAAGGGAAGGAATTGAAGGGGTTCGAGGGATGATCGTCTCCTTTGTTTATGGACCCTCTCAACCTCTCTTGTCAGCGGCCGTGATGCCTTCACCAAGGCACCGGACAGATGTCTTACCACCTGGTGGAGAGGCATTACGTCGTCAAGCTCACGGCGTAGGATGTGGTGACGGCATGCGGGGCGCCTCCGAGTTGGCAAAGCACAGACTGGTAGCTGGCAGGCTGATAGAGAAGAGAGTGAGCTGGTTTTCGGTCCCTGATTCCTAGCATCGGGGCAGGACCTGGGTTGTTGGCAGGCAAGGCAAATTGGTGCAGGAAGAAATCCTATTCGACATTGGAGGTCTAGGTTGCATGTCTTCCGTCCGCTCTCCTTGCTTTCCTTGGTTTGGGCGAGGCTGGGATGCGAGGGGGAGGGGCCAGGAGAGGGGCAAGAAGCCAAGAGGGGCCGGGAGGAAGTCGTAACCATCCACGCTTTCCACGTTTGACGGCTTTGAGGTTCGGCTCACTGCCACTGGACAAGGCGGGTCAAGACGGGGGAAGGAGCACGCATTGCCGTGGTTTTGGGAAGGAGCCTGCTACCTATGTCGTCAACATCATGTATTAGCTGGAACAGAAGACGGAACCGAGCATGATGAACTTTCGAGGAAGTTGTGGCTCCTTGTGAAACAATCCCCCGAAACTCGTATAGGAGACGGTATTAGCAGGCAAACCGCAACCACAAAACCGCAAACTGGAGATAGTACTGTAACAATACTATACGTAATTGGGTAACTGACAACCGACGCTGGTTGACCGGGATGGGCGCCACATGGCTGGCTACCTACTCGCACCGTAACAGTTGGGCTGGTTGATAGTAAAATCATTAATATTATCAACACCCATCCCCGTGGTCAGCAACACCGACGGCGATTCTTCTAATGGTGTCGTTAGACCCGCCAATGACGTCGGTCGTCAGCAACCGAGTCTGGCTGCCGCGGTAGTTGGCGGCGGCGGCACAGAATGCTTAACGTGGCCAGTTAAGCACGCAGGCACGATATTAGCTGGCCGAAGGGTTCCTTTGGTTCCTTTCAAAGGGTGTGGTGTTTTGGATGCCTTACCCAGTGCGCATGGCAAAGACGGAACTAGCCAATCATGGGCACCGGCGCATGCTAACGGATCTTCAGGGTCCTTTCTGAGGCTTGTGCTGCTGCCCGACAATCGCGCGGGGAAGCACCACTCTCCTATTGACACCAATGCGCTCAGGGGAGAGCCAAAGTTGCCTTTGGCTTTGACACTGTATCCAAAGGGCACAGTTAGTCGCGATTCATGAAACCGATAGTGTCCTGGATGCCGCCCTGTTCAGGTTCAGTATGGGGCCCAAGTTTGGGAAAGGCCAAATGTGAGATTGTGAGAGGTTGAGGTGCGCTCAGGGTACGGCGCAAATGCATTGTCGCGCTGCGGAGGACCGATGACGGCGGCCAATCGAGTACAGGCGTATCCAGCGGCATCCAAGATTTCGTCACAGTGGAGGGATGGTTGAGGTTGCCGTTGGTGGCAGTGTTCGCCGACCTCCACCACATCCCACCAGCCGGAGCTGGTTCCTGGCCAGCCAATGTCAGCCAAAACGGACCAAAGGGGACCTGAAGATGCGAGCCGATGCGAGAGATGTGCCAGGGCCCCCGTCTGGCAACTGTCAGGATGTCCAGGACGTCCAGGGACGGAATCAGAACCGCGCTTCAAAAAGGGCCAGGATGAGGGTGGGTTGAGGTGACTAAGGTATGAGCGAGTAGATGTCGTGATGTTCCATTCAATGTAATATTATTCTCGGACGGTACCCATGCTGGTTAGATTGGTTCTGTTACGGTAACTGTCATGGAAGGCCACAGTGAAGTTGACGATGATTACAGAAGGAACGGACGTGTTTTTTTTCTCGAGGGCACGTCGTCTACATTCCATGCCGTATGACGTCATGTGGCTTTGGTGGCTAACCCGTTCCGCTAGCCCCTGTGCAGTTACGCAGGGCAGGCAGGCCCAACCCTCGTTCTTGCCGCACCGTTTTGGCCCCACTTCAACCCTTAGCCGACCCTCAATGACGCCGCTGAGAAATCGAGAGGCTGTCACATGGTGAAAAGCGGCGCCGGGACCCGGATAACGGAAGGTTTTGTAGTTTCTGTGACAAAGGTCCAGCGGTCATACCAAAGACACAACCAAACTATCTCTACTTACTATCGCAAAGTGGAAGGGGAAAAAGAGAAAAAAAAAATCTTTTCGGGCTGCATGTTTGTTACTGCATGTGCCAAGGAAGAAGGAAATGCAATGAAAACGGTACAACGTTGTTGGCAGCACCCTGTGTGCATTAGCTCGTCGACACAACGCACACAGTGACCTAAAAGATTGCTGTCGCTTATTACGCTTAGAGACCCACACACAGCAGTGACTTTCCACAACACTGGTTTCCAACCGCTGTATCGACCTCACAACAACCCGATATGAAGCTGTCCAGAGCAAAAAGCCGGCTTCTGGGCGCGCTGCGTTTGCTTGTTCAATCAGCATTTCGTTGCGGTGACTTTTCGTGCAGATGTCTTCTCAACTTCGACCAAAAGTGACTTCAGAGTGAAGATGGGACTTAGCGACAGCACGAACCAGAAAAGACGAACAAGCCAATGTGATATTTGGATTCAGACGGGGAAAAGTGGGTCTCTAAGCGTAATAAGCGACACCAAA